GCCAGTTGGAAGTTCAACTTTCAAGACGTATGTGTTGCCACCATGGATTTTCGGCGGTTTCATTTTTTTCATTTAATATTTGAATTTTTTTCTTTAGTCCATTGACATCGAATGAAAGTCGTACGGCACAAATTTGGCACAAAATTTCATGTTTTTTCATTCGTCATTCTAGGTCTTCGGTTTCGAAAGACAACCGCATGGTAAATGTTGCACAAGGCACGTTCACACCGTTAGCTGGCCAAAATACAGCAACATCATCACATTCAGCTCGGAGTGGAAAAGTGCAAGCACATTTGAACCTTGCAACATTTAAGACGTATGTTTGAACTACTATTCTTGTTTAATTAAACCAAAACTTGGCAAAATATTCCATTTTTTTTTTTTTTAATTTATCATCTTAGACCATCGCCATTCAAAGGAACTTTCAAGGCACGTATTGGAAAAAGTACAACCACACATTCGATATGGAATGCAAACATGCAAGCATCTTTGAAGCCAGCTATTTATCGACCCAATAGTTTTGCGAGATCTAACACGTATGTTACACAGACTTCATTCGCTTTTTATGACCGTTTTTAATTGAATTCATCCCTCGAAATTGATTTTCATTGCCAATTCATTCATGCTATTTCCCACTTTCTTCTCAATTTCTTTCTTTAATTTTGCTTCGGATTTTTGTAATTTTTTTTTCTTCTTTTGATGAAGGATTTTTGACGCGCTTCTTTTGATTAAAAAAAACCAAGTATTTCGCTGTGTTTCAATCGCCTTTAACGCTTTAATGTAATATCCGTGGCCACTTTTTTATGTTTCTCAAAACGAATTCCGGCATTCAATTGATTACAAATATTCTTTTGTTTATGAATATTACAATTAACTGATTTTTTGTTATTGTCTCTTAATTTATACAAGCAATGTGATAACAATTCTGTGTGATGAACCTCAAAACGGCCAGAGAAAACAGAAACAACAACAAAATTTTATTCGAATTTTTTTTTTCGTTATTTCAGACCATTTTCATCTATAGAAAATCGTAAGGCGCGTACTCCAGTGAGTACATCTACACCGTTAACTGGTCAAAGTACACCACCGCTGCAATTGAAACCAAGTATTGTTTCTAACATCGCATCTGCTGATGAATCCATACATAACCCTTTTGCCGTTGTTGGCCCAAGCATAGCTAACGAGGGTTATTTTACCTAGGGTACTAGGGTTATTTTCCGAACATCATTAAATGAAACGTATGTACATTTATTCTAAATCCGAAATAAATCATATGGTTCCAGTTTTTGGTCAAATTCCAGTTTTTTCTTCGATTGGAAGTTTTAAAATTTGTTTTGCTTTGTAATTTCATTTGAACTTAGGTTTTTTTACTTATATAAGTACATGAAATACTATGTATTAACTTTAATATTTGTTTATTAGTCCGTACTCGAAAAATGCACGTCATGAGAAGACTTCCACCATTCCACCAAAAGAAATCAAAATGGAGAAAGAGCTACAAAGAATGCAAAACGTTGTGTCACGGCTTAACGAAGAAATTGGACCACTCCCAGTCGAAGGAATGTCAAGTAACTCTAGTAGTGATGATTTGAGTGATGTAGAGCACCAGGTGGAACAAAATGACCCAAATTTTGCCGCTGCCTACACCTTTACCACAAACGTAAGTAAATATCGCCGATTAAACGACAATAAAAATAAATTTTTGTGTGTAAATGTATACAAAACTTTTAGGCAGTATTCGATCGCTTATTGCAATGGTAAAATCAAAATTCAGCGAGGTGTCCTGACGCTGCTAAAAAATATGAACACGAACGTTCTTCAAAAAGCAAAGGAATTTGACTATTCATTCGTTTCACGTCTTATGTTTGAACTGTTTGATACTCAAACAATCGCTAAGAGCGGTGCAGCTGGGTCAAAACGAAATATTGATGAAACAAAATACAAATTCATCGAAGGTTTTTTTTTGTTTCTTTTTTTTATTTAATCAGACAATTTCAATTTTAAAAATCTTTTTTTTTTATTAATGCCATTTTTCGATATTTCAGATCTGTTCTCTGAAAGAACAAACGACCCAAAAAGAAGACAATCATTACCGAACTTAATAAACAGGAAGTGTGCAAGTATACGGAGTAAATTGGCCAAAAAGTGAAATCAAAAAAATATTTTTGATGCTGACTATTTACTATCGTGGATTTTTTTTTGTCCACAAACAATAGAGAAACAAAGTGAGACACAAAAATTTAAATATAAAATAATTTGTGATGATGGCGAGGCAAAACATTTATTAAATAAAAAATATTTAGTTATTTTCGGTTCTTATTCGAATAAATGAATATTTTACAGCGTTTGCGTTTTTCTCATATTTTGAAATAAAAAAAAAAAAACAATTTTCAAGAGGAGATTTTAGTATTATCACAATAATTTTGTTCTATGTTGAAAATAAAACTATTTTGATATTTCGGGGGTCTATAAAAACGAAAATGAACTTTGATAAGATTTTTTTTCTAATCATTTGAAAAAATTCTCATTTTCTTTTGAGCCAACTAATTTGTGGTGTCGTATTTTTGTGAGAACCCGAGTGAACGCGACACGCTTTGATGAAAGTCTACAGTCGTTCGATGAGGCTTTCATAATTTTTATATACATTTTAAATACTGAACGTCTAGGCTTTCATTGCTATTCTCACTTCTTTCGTGCATTCGTACCATTGAAAGCCTAGCGTGAAACATACACACGTACAACTGAACGCCTAGGCTTTCAGTATTTAAAATGTATATAACAATTATGAAAGCCTCATCGAACGACTGTAGGCTTTCATCAAAGCGTATCGCGTTCACCCGGGAAATTCTCAAAATTCAAAATTGGCGCTGAATCAAATGTCAAAATTTTGAGAATATTTTCAATTTTTTTTGAAATTTTCTTTATTTTTACATAAGAATACATTTGTTTCACCAAATGTACTCAGCGAGAAAATTTCATGAAATCTTCTCACGAAAACATTTCGTGAAATAGGGCCCTGGATTCCTCATTGTTTAGTCAGAAATTGCGATTGACATAAATCAAGAAAAAATTCACACTGAATCGGCGTTGCGTTAACACATATCTGACACTGTTCTCACACGGTTTTGAACGTCAAACCGTGTGGCTATAGTATAGTAGAGTTTGAAGTCGTTTGACACCATTTTTGATGTCAAATAACCGTGTGGATGCAGTTTATGTTTGTATTGGACAGTGTGGAAGTCCGCCACACTGTTTTACATTTAAAACCATGTCGCCGAAGTGTATGACCGTTGCGTTATCCCTCTAATGCATTAAGTTTTCCCAGGGCTGGGAGTACTGGTACTTGGTTGATTTTTGGCCATAGATAATTAAAAAAATATTCATAATCCTGGATTCCTCATGGTTTAGTCAGGAAATGCGATTGACATAAATCAGAGAACAATCAAATCCATTGTTTAAAAGTGTCAAAAATGTGTCTAATGTGGAAGCCAAATAATTTATCTTGTCAAATTTTTGTTTTTGCACACATCTTTGTTCATAACTTTTCAATCACACTACATAGACAAATATTGCGGAAGACAAAAATAAAGAGAAAACATTGACGAATAAAAATTCCCTTTGAAGCAATGTGATCCGATGTACGGTTTACGTTCTACAGGCATTCAAATGTTGCCCGTCTAGAGGCGGTTGTATGCATTAGAGGGTTATCATGGCGAATTTTGAAACCATTTTTGGTGTCGACTCTTGATACCCGAACAAACTTACACTGCATCCACACGGTTATTTGAAATCAAAAATGATGTCAAACGGCTTCACACTCTATTATACTATAGCCACACAGTTTGACGTTCAAAACCATGTGAGAACAGTGTCAGATATGCGTTAACGCAACGTCAATTCAGCGTGAATTTTTGCTTGGGAGAGAACAATCAAATCCATTGTTTGAATGTGTCTAATTTGGAATCTAAATAATTTATTTTGTCAAATTTTTGTTTATAATTTTACAATTACACTACATAGACAAATATTGCCAAAGACAAAAATAAAGAGAGAACATTGACGAATAAAAATTCCCCATAAAGCAATGTGATCTGATGTATGGTTTACGTTCTAGACTAACAATATAGAAAAATAACTTTGACAATATAGGCAATAGAATTG